GCAGGAATCAGTCCCCTGTGGGTGAGCAGTCTGGTGTCACCCCTCGCTTGACAGGAAGGAGAAAGACGGAGGTAGAAAGCAGGCTTCCGGGCACCTGGCTCGCACAACTCATGCACATCAGACTCATCTGGATCGTGTGGCTGACACAGTATGTGGTATTTCCAAAGATGACCTCAGCTCTATCTCCCTGTCCCTCATACCCTTCCGCAATGAAACTGCCACTCCTCCCACTGAGAAGCGGGGTCTGTTTTCTCTCCCTTTCCATCGGGCTGGCGCCCGGACTTGTCCTGAGCAACACCAAGAGGTAGAACCATGCCCCGTCCTAAGGGCAGCTGGACTTCTGCCTTCGATGCTTGGAAGGCTGCCTCTTGGAAGCCAACTGCCTCAGGACAAGTCAGTCTACCCTGCGGGCGAGGGACCTTATGGAGAGAAGCCTAAAGTCACTGCCGACACTCCCGTCTCAGCCCAGCTCCCACCTGAAGGCAGCCGCTGGAATGACCTTGGCCAGAAACTGCTCCACCGGACCTTGACCAAATTCCCAGTCCCCAGACCATAGCAAGTAAAATGGCAGTTGTCTTCTATGTAAAGCTAGGGACCTTCACAGTAGTGAGTGAATGAAAGCCCATCCGGGCCGCTGAATCATGGTCTCCAGGGACAGGGCCTGGGCATCTGCCTGTTAAGAGTCCCCCTGAGTTCTCCCATGGGCTGCCTCAGGCATGACTCACAGACAGCATGAGAGACCTGAAGTCTTAGACCACACAGTGTGTGTAAGTCGCAGCAGCTTGGGCCAGAGACACACGTGGGAGGAGAGATCAGAAAAACTCTAGTTTTCCCAAAGATCCGGGATGTCTGTGTGCACAGTCCTGAATCAGACACAGGAGCTGGCGTGACCTTGGAGAACACTGAACACGTCGGGGGTCCAAGGCCCTGAGAGTGGAACCGACGTGCTCAGAGTCACACTCACAGCTTATCTGTGCAGTCGGGACCAGAGCAGGTCCTCTGAGCACTGGTCCAGGCCTCCTCCCCCTGTCCATCCAGCTCTCGGGGTGTCTGCATCTTCCCTGCGGAGTGAGAGAACACATTCGCTCCTAACTGCATGAACAACTGTTCAAAATAGCAACAAAGTCATGGACTCCAGCGGGCTGGCGATCCCAGGAAGGGTGCAACTACCGAGGGCATCTAAGAGAATAGGGAGCGGGGCTGATCACCTTCCTGCAAGAGGCGACCTTCGAAGGAGGAGGTCGAGCTGGGCAGAGCAGGAAGGAGATGTGTGGGACTTGCAGACTAATTACTCCGTAGGTTCAAAAAGTCCTGTTGGGATGGAACAGGGCTTTGTAAGTTTCTATCGGGGCTGGTTTGTCTTATCCACTTCTTCTACCAGCAGAGGGGAGGGAGGATGGGGCTGGTGCCTTCATGGGAGACCTTTGGCACTGACCTCCCCATCACATGAGGACCCCCTCCTCTGCTGTGCTTATAAGAAAGCAGACCTGGCTTGGAAGAGACCAGCCCCCAGGCGTTACATCAAGGAGGCCCAGCCGGTCTGGGTTCTGCTGCCTTTCTCTCTTCTCAAAGTCCAGCCCCCTTTTATCACTGGAGGAGGCCTCAGAGACACCACTCAGCTTTTATTTTTAGTTTCCCATTCTCCTCAGAGCGGCTGGTCCTGGGATAAGCTGTTTAAATGCTCCCAGCTGCCCTTGGCTGAGGCCTGAACAAGGGAGAAGGGATTTTGCTTGGCGTAGGAGGGGTCAAGGTCGGGGAGTGGGAGGGACTCTCCTGTGGTCAGAGGGGACAAGTGAACCAGTTTGGTAAATTTATTTCCTTGGCAAATAATTCCCAGTCAACGGAGAGATCGATAAGGCAGCCTGCAGTTTCCATGCCTAAGAACACGGTTCTTTTGGCAGGCAGTGTGAGGGTAGGAGCGTGAGCGGACGCGATCGTTGATCAGAATCCAGGATTTGACGTTTCATTCCTGCAGGTCTTGGACAGTTCCTAAACCTCTCTGAGCACAATTTCCTCATCTATTAAGATGGCATTAAGGAGGGGGCTGGTTGGTGGCACACTCTGGGAGGATGACTCACATGGGAGAGTTCCGAGTTCACATTTGGGGACCTCACTAAGGACTCTTTTTTTTTTTTTTTTAGAATTATTTATTTAATTTTATTTATTCATGCATTTTATTTTTAATTTGACCAGAGAGAGACAGGGGGGGGCAGTGAGAAAGCAAGCTCCCAGGTCCAGGACTTGAACCGTGGCCGGCCACGTCCAGCGCCCTAACCACCACGCCACCTGCTAACCCCACTCCCTGAGGACTCTTGACATGCATGGGCCCATGATCTGGGGCTGGCTGAATCTGGGGGCACGTTGCGGTGTTCAGATATCATTAGGGATGAGAGAGCTTTCTTTCCCTCTCTCCGTCTCCCCCACTCATGGAAGAAATAACTAGCTTTAAAATCCAAAGGAGATGATGGTATTCCTGATATTTATTACCTAGTCCATTGGGTTGTTGTGGAGATTGATTGAGATAACACACGTTAAGACACCAGTGCCCGGCAATGCCAATTGTTCAGTAAAAATTCATTTCTTGACTTTTTTATGCTGACCGAAGCCATGAGCCCTAGTACGTACCTGCCCTGCACCAGGCACCAGAACCTGCATGCCATACACTTTTCTGCACAATGGCCTGAGGGTGAGAGGGTACTTACCCCCATTTGTCCTCTGAAACCCACCCCGTGGCAGACTGTTAGGGTCTAAGGTCTAGTGGATGCAGTGATGAGAGCCAGCGGGGCCTGTGGGGGGTCACGGGAACATGCCCCTGTCCAGGCCTTTCAGGTGCTCCAGAAACTGAGTGTCCCAGAAGGGAGGAAAGAGCCGCTGACCCCAAGCCCGTCTGGGGGATTCTGCAACTCACTCTGCCTCATGGGGCTGGCTCACGGAGTAGAACCAGAGAGCTGAGTGTAATTCTCTGGGTGGGAGAGGCTTCGAGAAAGGCATGCAAACAGCCAGCGCTGAGCCCGGTGCAGTGCTAATCCATCCACGTTTGGCACCTCTTTTAATTCATACCACATATTTGATATAGATCCTGTTATTATCCCCATTTCAGAGACAGGGGGGCTGAGCCTGAAAGAGTGCAAGTGACCTTCCAAAGTCACTCAGTTGGTAAGTGGTAGGGCCAGCACTGGAATCTGGGAAGTGGCACTTGCTTGGGGGTTTGTCTGGCGAAGGCATGACCTGGCTCACGGCTTCCAGGCATTCTAAACTCCTGGCCCCTTCCCTTGGGAAGGTCCCGCAGCACAGGGCTCCCTCTGTACCTAGTCCTGTGACGCAAGGACACCTCCCTCAGCTCCCAATCCCCCACCTGCTCCTTATGGAGCGAGATCCTGCCCCCACCCCTGGCTTCTCCATCTCTCTCCACAAACCTGGGGCCACTAGCAGGTGGTGGGCAGAACTTGTCTCCTCTGTCCCAGCAGTCTGTCTAAAGGAGGTGTTTTCCA